AGTTTTGCCACAAATTCAGCGGGGCAACGACCGTGTAATCGCGTACGCAAGCCGTCTGCTTTCTAAGTCTGAACACAATTATTCTATAACAGAACGGGAATGTGTCGCTCTTGTTTGGGCGGTTTCGAAATTCCGTCCTTACTTGTATGGCCGCCCATTCCGTGTCATCACAGATCAACACGCGCTGTGTTGGCTTTCTTCTCTGAAGGACCCCACTGGACGACTTGGTCGTTGGGCATTACGCCTACAGGAGTATTTCTACTCGGTTTGCTTATAAGTCTGAACGTCTCCATCTGGATGCCCATTGCTTATCCCGCTACCCTGTTGATCAGCCCGACGAACCAGACATTGAGCCTAGCCTCAGCATCATGTCAATGTCCCAGTTTCTTTAGATTGGTGATGAACAACGTCGTGATGCTTCTCTGCGACAACTTATTGACCGTCTCGAATCTGCTCCGAACGACACGTCACTTCGCATGTACGTCCTCCTGAATGGCACGCTGTACCGTCGTAGCCTCCAGCCAGATGGCCCTGAACTCCTTCTTGTCGTGCCGAAAAATTTGCGTTCAACCGTGCTGCACGAGCTTCACGATGAACCAACTGCTGGTCATCTGGGTGTATCTCGGACGTACGACCGCGTGCGTCGCCGCTTCTTTTGGCGCGGTCTCGCCCGGTCCGTTCGACGTTACGTGTCCTCCTGCAATAAATGCCAACGTAGGAAGCGACCTACTGCGCCCCCGGCTGGACTTGTTCAACCGATCTCTATCCCAACCGAACCTTTCTTCCGTGTTGGTATAGATCTTCTCGGTCCTTTTCCCGAGTCGAAATCTGGCAACAAGTGGGTCGCCGTTGCTATATACTATTCGACTAGGTATGCCATCACTCGAGCGCTACCCACCAACACCGCTACTGATGTTGCAGACTTTTTGCTCCACGACGTCATCCTACACCATGGCGCTCCTCGCCAACTACTCACGGATCGTGGTCGCACATTTTTGTCCCGTGTGATCGACGATCTTCTGCGCTCTTCCTCGACGCACCACAAGCTGACTACTTCCTACCATCCCCAAATAAATGGCCTTACCGAACGGCTAAATCGGACCCTAACGGACATGCTCGCGATGTATGTGTCCTCCGACCACCATGACTGGGACCTGGCGCTACCTCACATGACCTTCGCGTACAATTTTTCGCGCCACGACACTACTGGTTATTCACCCTTTTATTTGCTTTATGGCCGTGATCCGAAGTTACCACTCGACACCCTACTTTCAACCACTACAACGCCGTCAACCGAATATGCACGTGACGCTATTGCTCGTGCCGACCACGCACGTGAGATCGCCCGCTTTAGACTTTCGGCTTCGCAAGCCACCCAGAAAGCCATCTACAACAGCCGGCATGCTGACGTTCACTTCTCACCCGGTACTCTTGTTCTTATGTGGTGCCCAGTTCGTCGAGTTGGCTTATCAGAGAAGTTGTTGTCTCGCTACATGGGTCCTTACAGTATCATCCGCCAGGTAACCGACGTCACCTATGAGATCATTCCTGCATCTGAGACCACAAGTCTGCCTGCAACCACACCCAGTGATGTTGTGCATGTCAGCAGGCTAAAACCTTACCACCTGCCTACTGAAGACCGTAGTTAATGTGCACCGAGACGGCGCTTTTACCGCCGGGGGTAATGCTACGTAGCTGACGTATCAGCGGTAAGAAGACGACAACGAGGAAGTGGTCTGTCGGTTGTGCGTGCTGTCTTCCATCTTAGTCGACGCCATACACATCAGTTTGAATATAGATTTTAAATAGACGCGCCTCGTGTCATTTTTATGTAACAATATCATGGCACACTTACTTTTAGTTAGTTACTATGCACTGGGCATTTAATCAGACTGATTGCTTGCATGAGCATGTCGTTTCTTCAAGTCCTGCTACAAGTTGTCGCCATGTGTTCGTCTGCCAACAAGGCCGCTTATCAGTTCGGTGACTGTAGTCGCATCGATGTGCGACAAATGTGCACACATCATCCGCAATCTGTTGAATGGCATGGTGATGTCCTCGAGCTTGTTCAAAGTGAATTACACGTAAATGTCACAAACTGAACTTGTGCACTCACTTATCAATTTCGAGGCTACACAAGTGCCGAGGTGTTAGTTTCTTTTTCACGTTAGGCTGCCGCATTTTTTCGAGTGGACATCCCAACATCGTTGCGAGCATGCCATTAAAAGCAGTCTACCTATGGCCAGTAGCCTCTATTGTGGGGGCGGCGAGCACGTTCATATCGAATGGATAGATTTTCTCTTGTTCGTCGATGCGAGGCGTACTCGACTCTGACGACTCGTTATGCAGTTCACCCACAAACGAGGTCGTTTCGTCAGGCGAGGGGGAGACTGCATTACGGTGCATTTAGTGACAAGACCGCACTTCCGTTCTATCGCTGCAAAGATTGATATCTCTCATAGCCTCACTTCTGCTTTTTACCTGTCTCTAACTGACGAGGCTGCAAAACAGTGCCGCTTTCAGTGGCGTTGTTGGCAACTAACGGGCTCGCACGTTAGCTGAGCCTACAGCGGTGACTCGGTGACCGCCGTTCGTTATCCTCGTTGTCCTGAGCCATAGTGGGGCTCTTTCTGAAGTCTACGGCTAACGAATGATTGCCACGCCCACTTCACAAATTAGTGTGGGGCGGAACTTCTTTACTACAGAAGGCATTCGACAGCACCGTGACAAAAGGCGTGTCATGATGGTGAAGCGGACGCCGAAAACGCCACTTAGCCAATCGGATGTCTAGGCTTTGTCACATGCCCCAAGCAGCCAATAGAATCGCGCGCTGTTGCTTCTCGATGATGCATTTTTTCTGAAAAACCAATGAGCAAGGCTAGCCAGCAGTGGTGGGAAATTGAAGATGAAGGATGACCCTTCCAAACGAGACCAGGATGACCACGATAGCTCTTGTGTAACAGCAGCGGTCCAGCACAGAAAAAGCGCGATTTTGGTGTCTATTAGCGCTCACATTCATTTCCAAGGGGTGGTATAAATTTTATTGCAGAAATAATGACGCAAGAAGCTAGGAACTGCAAAAATAGGTGCAGATTCCAAAAATGTCAGCTTCAAAAAGTATATTTTTTGTGATTTTGGTCTTCTACGGCTCATGTCCCTCCTTAAGAAAGCCCTTTGAATTTCCCATGCAAAAGTATGGGACTGGTGCATCCGTATATGGAACTCCCACACAGCGATCCACCCGCTATATCGAGCACTGAGCTGCACCAAAGCCCAGAAATTGCATTTCTACTAACGAATAGTGATCACTTTTCGGCTGCATTTTGACAAGTTCTGATCTCTTTTCGCGCGCAAGTGACGAGAAGGTGGTGCTGAAAAGTGAAACGGTAAAACTTCATTTCACTTATTTTGTTCGTTGCTCAGCACTTGTGAGCACACCGGTATGCTTAATGCATGCTCTCCAGGTTTTAAAATGTGGGCATGGTGTTTAAGAAACAAGATTGCCGAGGGCATTAAAACGAAGTGATGCGTTCTTTGGGGAAGTTTGGCGATCTGTTGCCTTGTTCACATTCTCTCGTGCATGATGGCATGTGGGAGTAGAAAGCGTAACCTTTGAGATGTACAACTTCGTGACGTATTTTGGCATTTCCATTTATAGAACACCTATCTCGAAGGCTATGCTTTTTTCTAGCTTTTTGCACCAAAGCAGCAGCTGTCTGCTATAGAACGACAAAGCCACAAGTTACACTGCTATCACCAACGTGTCGACAGTGGGAGCTTGCTCGTTCACTGCAAAAGAGGGGCTACTTGGGCTGGTTGGGCATAGCGCACACATATAACATTTTATTGCACATATTGCGGCAATATATATACACAGTTAAAAGGGGGAGAGATGACACACAGAAAAATGAATAAATGATGGCACATGTGCCAGAACATTTTTAATCAAATCTTGAAATTAAAGTTTAACTGAAAATATACTGGTATTTATTGTCCAACAGGTTGACAATGAGGCACTGTCCTATCTCTCTTCTTTCTGAAACGTTCCCTGCGCACTAAGTGAGTTTGATCCTTTCAAAAATTGCTCGTTGAGTTTTTGTGGGCAGCATTGTCTTTAGTGGTTTATGGACTTGTGTACTTCTCGCCTCGTTCCTATAAGTCATCATTTCGAAATCAGAGCTAAACATTGACCTGCTTATAGCGATAACAATCATGACTGGTGCTAAGAGTGACGTCAGGTAAAGCACAGTCGCAAACTGTACTTACTTTTTTGCGGGCTTTGGTGCCAGGTGACTACATTGGGTGCGTCATGACTACTGACTATGGTTTACGATGCCTCAGTCCGGGGTGCAAGAGCTGCGCCCATTGCGCCAATTTGATGCAATTTCAGATTGTTGCACCGAGCTGCTCCAAAAACACGAAATTTGCTGAAATTGTGCCACACAGCACCAAAATGGCCAGCCAGCATCAAAATTTTCTAATTTGGTCACCTGTCCACGCGCGCACGCATAGACAAGTGACGGCCTCCCGCAGCGATCCCTGTAACGACTGAACAGGCCTTGTTTAAATTGTTCTATGGCTGATTAATGGGCATTTTACAAGTGATTTTCGAGCGTGAGAAAGCAATTTTTAGTTGACTTTGATAATTTATTGTGAATTCCAAGCCTTGTGATGCGCTAGAACATTTAACTCACGTGTTCTCGGGAGCCTTTACTACCGATCGGCAGCATTTTCTGACCATGCTGAAGAAGTATTGCTGGGCCCTTTAAAGGAGCGCACAATCGATGTTCCTGGGATGTCGTCCCACACTGCAGCCCCTCTAGCGAAACACTTCATTTTTTTCGTCCACTCCCGAAGTCCCGCCCGGCTTAAACGTCGGACGAGTCCGTCGTCGTCCAACGCTCTATAAACAGCTCAATTTTCATTGCTATAGAGTGAATATAAAAAAGAAGTGTCTTTGCGTAGCATCTCCCCTTAATGCGCGTGTTCTCTCTTTGCAGGCAATGCGGTTCCCACCCAAGTCCTACAACAAGGACCTTGAATCGGCTGAGGTAAGCTTCTGAAGGATGCAGCACAAATATATGAAAGCAGTATGTGTGGAAACAGTCTTAGCACAGCTACTTATCTCGATGCCTGATGACATAAGATCCCGAGAGATAGTCCTCCTTTAATTGAGTGGAAAAGTGAGGAGGGGATTAGCATTCAGTCTGTACTGCAGTGATGGCCACCTTTAATGTCAAGGTTGTCAAGGAGCAGGTGAGAGATCATGCAGTGGGGTGATATAGAAATGCCAGAGGGGAGTTGCGAGTAGAACTTTCAGATCGCAATAATTAATAAATTCATAGAAAACAGGCTAACCGTTGTTGGACCTAGAGGAGGCTTAATGGCAATAACTAACAGTGAAATAGACTTCATTCTGTGTGCACACCAGGGCATTGTACTGAATGGGAAGTAACAAGATTCAATGCAGTGACCATAGAATGGTAAGGTCTCGCCTAAACTTGAGAAAAGAGCGGCACAAAATGATGTGCAAGAAGCCAATTAATGAGGTAGCAGCAAGAGGAAAACTGCAGGAATTCAGAGTCACTTCAGAGGAAAAGTGCAGGAATTCAGAGTTTCACTTCAGAATGATTTGTTTCTCTAACCAAGGGAACCAATGCTAGTGTTGACGCAATAAACAATAATCTGAAGAGTATCATTAAGGAGTGTGCAATGGAAGTCGAGGATTCATCTTGAGTATTTGCACTGTCGATCATACACGGATGGACCGAATACACCACAAAACAGAGACACCTTTATCATACAGGGACTGTACGATAAAACGTGTGATTATCCAGGATGTAACACCAACCAGCTAGTGTTATCGGGGATATGGCCGCTAGACGAGACATTGCAAATTATCCTTGGAGATGAAAAACCTCATTAAGATACGTCAGACCATGAAATTTTTAAATGCGATAGACAAAATATAGCTGGCGGAGGTTTTTAGGTTACAGTTGAAACACATAACGAAATAGACAGGGAGAGCAATAGCTTTCGCTCTTGCGGCTCCCTAAAGGCCTGCATATAGCTCGGACCGATATGCCACTTGCCCACTAGGTACGGCGAGCGGGAGCCATGGCTGTCCGCTAGAATGGAAGATGTTATATGGAGCAGCGCCCGCTTTGGCTAGTTGTTATTGAGTCAGCCATCTTGCCAGTTTTTCTGTGCATCTCCCTGCTTGCTCAGTTCCTCTGAGTAAAAGACCTTTCGTAGCACGTGACAACTGGTGGAGGTGCTGGATAACCCCCAGCCGATGTTCCAAACGCCTCCAGATAGCCCTGTACCTTCAGTGACAACACCTGTTCACCACTCAAGCCAAAGACTCCGAGGACTACCTCCCGAGCTTGGACCTCTGCCCGAGATGACGTCAGTGACGTCCCCGAATGCTGTGGAAGGCGTTGCAGTCTCCAATGCTCTGGAAGGCCCTGCAGCCGTGCCTCCTATGCTTCGGAAGCCTCGTGTGCCGAAGGTGTTCCACGGTTATATCTTGGAGGATGTCAAGGACTGGCTAGCTCGGTTCAAACGGGTATCGGATTACAATAGTTGAACCGACTTCGACAAGATGAGTAACGTGTATTTCAGCCGGGAGGACAGCCCTCCTACTTGGTACGAAAACCGTGAGCCCTTTTTCTCGTAGAGGGCCTTTCGCCGTCAGTTGCTGGCAAGCTGGGCCGATCCCGATCGCCGTGAATGAGCCGAGCGAGCTATTCAGTCACGCATACAAATGCCGAATGAGAGCATCATGATGTACATCAAGGACATGTCGAACCGACCCTGACATGGCAGAAGAAAAGAAGCTCCACCATTTAATGCGAGGAGTGAAGGAGCAGCTTTTTGCTGGCCTCAGTCGCTATCCCCCAAAGACCGTGGTGGAGTTTCTGACCGAAGCCACAACTATTGAATAAGTGCTGCAGCTGCGCTCTACTATGTACGACCGGCAAGTGACTATCGCTTCGTCAGTTGGCCAGAATGTAGGTGTAGGAAGTAGCACTAACATCGAGTCTCTCTGCGACTTCATTCGATCGGTGGTGCGCGGCGAGCTATAAAAGATTCAGTGCTAGCACCAACCTACTTTGAGGTCCATCTACAGCATCGTCAGAAATGATGTATGACAAGCTCTGCAAGTGCTACCTTCTAGTTATGTCACACCTGTCCCAACAGAGCCAAGCTGTGCAACATACGCAGATATATATTGATATATTCAGTTGATATATTCCTGCTTCACCGCACTTCGTTAACCCTACGCCATAGGATGCACTTCCTTTGCTGCAGCCAATTCACTACTTGGAAAATTGGGAAAATCGACAGCCACTTCCAAACAAAAACGCGACGTATGACACACACCAGACAGACGATCACTCTGTTATCACTGTGGTGAAGCGGGACATGTGTACCTGGATTCTCCCTATCGCCGCCTTGCACTCCAGGGTTTCGCCGTCGACTCGCCACGGCCGAGATTCGGTGACGGACGGAGAGCTATTGAAGATTACCTCTCACAGCGGCGCATGCCACTGCGGCGGCAGTTGTGGTCCCTATCCCCAAGGCGATCTCCAAATTGTTGAAGCCTCCCAGGGGCAGCGCAGGCATGCTCATCAAGCCCTAGGCAGGAAAACTAATGACAGCGACGTTGAGGAGCGAGGCCATTGACACTCTATGTAAGCAAGGCCTCCGTTTGACGCAAGCACAGACTCGCAGCAATTCACCGACAGCAACGAAAACCGGAAGCAGATCTTCTTTAGAGATACATGTAGTAGTCGACGGTCGCCACGACGTTAGTGCATTATTGGATACAGTTGCGGACTATTCGATCATGAGCGGAAAACTAGCAGCGCACATAAAGAAAGTTGTTACGCCTTGGTACTGCCGGGGGACATGTAGTCACCCCTATTGGCATGTGCACTATCAGGGTGAGCATTCAGGGACGTACGTTTTTCACCAGCTGCCTCGTACTTCGTGACTGTTCCCGAGACATAATCCTGCAAGTTGACTTTTTGCCAAAGCACAGCGCTATTATCGATCTTCGGGAGCGTACCATAACGTTTCTGACAGTTGGTCTACGGACCAATCCAACAACCGTGGCAGCACGTTTCGTGTTTCTGCCAACAGTATCACGTTGCCTCCACGCTCCAGCGCCCTAGTTGATGTGTGGTGTCCGACAAGTTACGGACGGGATGGTGAGGTTGTCGCCAAAGGCAACTTGGCGCTTTTGTTCACGCTAAGTGTCTGCGTTGCACGCAACCTCGGGACGCTTCATGACAGACACTCTGCCCTACTTTGACTAATTTCAGTAACGAGTACCAGCACCTGTTTCGTCACATCGTCATGGCTTTCGCCTACCCTGTCGCCGGCATTGCTGATATTTCGCATCTAATCAGCCCACGATGGGCTTCGACCGACACCAAGCGATGTGACTTTGTTACTTGCCAAAATTGATGACCATTCGACCCTCTCGAAACAACAACAGACTGAGCTACGTAAACTGCTACATCAATTTAAAGAGTGCTTCATATCCAACTCGAAGTTTCCTCAAACACCGATCACCAAACACCGAATAATTACGTATACCGACGCCTCGCCCATAAAACAACACTCCTACCGCATTTCTGCAAAGAAACGTGACAGGATAGATGCTCAAGTTGAAGAGATGCCGCAAGATGACGTTACTTAACCTTTCAAGAGTATCTGGTGATCTCCCGTCGTTCTCGTAAAGAAAAAAGATGGATCACTGCACTTCAGCGTAGACTACAGAAAACTTAACAGCGTGACAAAAAAAGACGTCTATCCGCTGCCCCACATCGATGATTCCCTTGACAGACTGTGGCGGGCCAAGTATTTTTTATCGATAGACTTGAAAAGTGGCTACTGGCAGATCGAAGTTGATGAACGAGATTGTGACGAAACCCCCTTTGTTACACCGGATGGCCTATATGAATTTAAGGTGCTTCCCTTGGGCCTCTGTTGCGCACCTGCGACATTCCAGAGAATGATGGTCACTGTTCTTCTAAAGTGGCACACGTGCCTAGTTTATCTGGATGCTGTCGTGTTTTCTGTGACCTTTGAGAAGCACCTGAAGCGTCGGCAGACTGTGCTGGAAGCCCTCCGCTCTGCTAACCTAACCCTAAAGCCGGAAAAATGTCACTTCGGTTATAAAGAACTAAAGTTTCTCTGCCATGTTGTCAGTGCTGATTGTGTTCAGCCAGAGCCTAACACAAGCACTGCCGTGGCCTTGTTTCCTCTTTCACGTGATAAGAAGGCAGTACGTCGCTTTCTAGGGCTGTGCGTGTACTATCGCCGCTTTATAGCCTATTTTCCAAGGATTGCTGAACCGCTCACTTGACCCGCTCGTGAAGACAACCCATTCGTTTGGGAGGAAGAACAAGACGCAGCTTTCTCTGAACTACGGGAGCATTTGCAGACACCGCCAGTCCTCGCTCACTTTGACCAAGACGCTGATACTGAAATTTATACTGACGCCAGCAGTGTGGGTCTTAGTGCTGTTCCGTCCAACAATAAGAAGGCACAGAGCGAGTGATAGCGTACGCTAGCCGCACTTTTTCACGCACCGAGGTCAACTACTCCATGTCAGAGAAAGAATGCCTCGCTGTTCTATGGGTCACGATGAAATTTAGGCCTTACCTTTGCGGTCGCCACTTCAACGTAATGACCGACCATCATTTGTTGTGCTGGTTAGCCGGCCTACGAGATTTGAGAGGGCGACTGGCACGGTAGAGTCTTCGTCTGCGAGAATTCGATTTCAGGATAGCTTACAAATCGGGTCGCAAGCACGGAGATGCCAATTCATTGTCCTTGGCCCCTGTCGAAGTTTGTGGCCGCGACACCGAGGATGACGGTGGTTTCCTTGGAGCCCTTACTACAACAGATCTGACTACACAACAGCGCATGGACGACGAAATCCGCGCAGTTATCGAAAACCTTGAAGGACATAACTCTTTCATACGTCGATGTATTTCACGAAGTCTGTCGTCGTTCTACCTGCGAGATGGGGGTCCTGTATAAGAAA